AGTTACCCAAAATAATTATTTTTAAAATATAGTAAATATTATTTTATTTAAAGTATTATATTTTGATTTAATTTTAGATTATGCACTGTTAAAGTAATTATAAGAAAAATATTCAATTTCTCTGTAAAATTATAGAAATATTACAATATTATAATTAAGATAAATATTTATATTTATAATTGATAATTTTTATTATCTTTAATCATTATGGATGCTATTAGTGTGGGTATGACTATTATTTTATAGCAAAATATATAAATATAGTCATCAAAAGAATTATAGGATTTACTATAATAATTAGTAAATATTATTATTTTTGTTTAAAATATTCTATTTTATTTTTATTTTATTTTTATTATGTACTGTTAGAGTAATTATAAAAAAAAACTTTCTAATTCAGAAGCATATAATATAAAATATGATTTAATATTTGTTTTGAATTATTTACTATTTTTTATTTAAATTATTTTACTATATCTCTAATTCAAAGGTTTTTTTTATTATTAGAAAGTATATAAAAAGAAATATTAACAATTACTCTATAATTTTTTTGAACAATTATTTTTAAAATATTCATTGAGATCTTGATCACGTTTTGCTTAAGTTAAAAGAGAAATTTTTGTTGTGAAAATTTTAAATTTCTTTTCAATTAATAATTATATAAATTAATGCAATTAAACTAATTTCCTTATTTACTATTAAAAAAATTAAAACTAAAGAATATTATAGAATTTATTGTTTTTAAAAACTCTTAAAAAACTTTCTTGTAACACATGTACAGAGGTGAATTAGGTTTAGTATATTATATATATAAAATGTTAAATATCCTATTAGATCTTTAGAGTTTTTTTGCAAACTTTATGCATTAAGTTCGTGATTTTTAGAATTAAAATTTCACATGTACTCTTATAGATTTAATTTATTATGAAAGTTAGCTTTTACATTGATAGATTGGTTAATGTCATTTTACATCTTTTTTGTACTCTCGTTAGACATTAGTTATATTTATTTCACATAATTTATACAAATTTCGCTTAAATTATATTTTTCTTGCTTAAGCAACCACATGAAAAAGAAGATAACTCACCATATTAGTTAAGTAGTCATTAATTTACTTAAACCATACAAGATATTCTAATATTGGCTTAAGCGAATATAATCTAGCTTAAGCAAAGATTGAGTATTATAGTTTTACTTATGTTAAATTATTATGCTTCAAGTAAAATTGATTTGGCTTAAATTAAAATAATGACTTAAACAAATATTGATGAAATTTATATATTTATCACTATATAAAATTAGTCTAAGTGAATATGGTATAACTTAAATAAAAATTATAAAAAATAATTTTCTTACATTTTTTAAGCTTTTAATTACATCTTTTTAATAATTATCTTTATTCCAATCTAGTAAAGTTATTAGTTTTTAAAAAATTAAAATAAATATATGATATTTACAAATTTAATTAGTTTTATTTATAAAAATCACAATTCAAAGTATAACGATGTAAAAAGAGTATAATTATTTAGATTGTTAGATTTAAAAATATTTTTACATACTATTTGAAATATAAAAATAAAAGAAAATTAAACAAAACTTTTACAAAACTATTTTAAGTGAGAATTTCATTTAATCTTATGATTTATATCTCTTATAAATTTTTATTACTTAAATTTTAATTAGAATTAATAAATTTATCAAACTAATTATTTGAAATATAAAATAAATATTTGAATTAACTTAAGAAATAAAAATAAAAATAAGTGACTTTAAGAAAATAAAGTTGAGTTTTATATAAATAAAAGAAATACTTTAATCATGATAACTATTACAATTATATTTTTAAATAGTATTTATTTTAAAATAAAAATATTTTTAAATGACTTATTATATGATAGATAATATTTAAAAAATTTTACTTTATAAAATTTCTTAAAACTTAAATTATAAACACTGTTACTTTAAAATAACAAATCATTTTGATATAATCCATTAACGCATCTTATCCGTCACCAATTTTTCATTAATGTCATAGGTTAATTAATTTTAATTTTTCAGAATTATTCATAAACAAATAAAGTTATGAAACATTGTTATCTCGCAAAATTTCCAAATCTGTCGCAACACAAGCACAATGTTGAAATGCAACTTATATAAGTATGCATTGAGTTATTTTCTTTAAAATCAATCAAAATAATGACATTAAATTAAAAGGTTTGTGCAGTTGTGTGCTGTTTATATATATATATATAATGCATGGCCCTCCATATTACCAATCATGCACAAGTAAACTCATCTATGAGCATTTGCTATGATTGGAATTAAGCACCCGTGAACATAACAACTTGCTGGAATTTGACAACTAGACAGAGTCTTATAATGTCTATTTTATATTTTTTTTTTTATTATAACTTGTTTTTCTCAAAGTTAACTATCCCCTTTCAGACAAAACTCTATTTATTTTTCATTAGAACAACGCAGTTTTTGTGTCTTAGTGTAATATAAACTTTCTACAGCAAACAAATTGGAGTTACAAGTTTACAAAAAACAATCATGAAACTGTATCAAAAGCACAGAAGAAAAACAATAATTATTTTAACCGGTGTTTATAATATCATATCATAAGACAATTACAGTGTTTGATAAATAATTTGTTTGCACTTTATAAAAAATATTTTGGTAAATATTATTATAATTTAAGCATATGAGGATAACTCAACCAAAGAACCTAATCTATTCGGTAAAAATGTTTAATGAATTAAAAATCACAGTAAACATTTTATTTATTCCCCTTAGGATTTATAATATGCTGTTAATATTGGAAATCAAGAAAAATAAAACTTTTGAATGTGAAGTATGGAAATTAGGAAAAGGATAAACCAACTGAGATTACAAGTTTTAGCCACCCACTGGAAACTTATGTTATGACAATTGTAGCCACCCATTGAACAATTTTCTTACTTTTATTGTCCCTTATTTTTTTATTTACTTTATTTAAGATAGAAATATAAAATAATATTTAACATGTCTCTATCTTATCTTGCTTATATATGTTAAATGAAACATATTAATTTTGGTGTTAATCACATGTCTGGTGCTATAGTGCATTTGCACATGGTCACTTAAATACAGGTTGTGGGATTCATTTGGTGACCTTTCAAACACTTAAAGATAAAATATATCTTTAAGTGTTTTTTCTAATATATATTTATGATATATTTTAAGTCATGTATATAAGAAAAATAAATAATAATAAAAATAATATGATATCATTTGCTATATTAATTTTAAATTATTTAAATAATGAAATTGATAAATACATTAATCATATCAACTATTGGAGCATTCGGTTTGGAAATTTGAAATTAATAATTACTTAATTATTAGTATTTATGTGCATAATTATATATTTGTAAATTTTTAAGTAACAATAATCCAAATTGTTAATATTTCAGTGAAATTAAGAAATAAATTTAAATATATTAAGGATAATTATATTAAATTTTTTCTTAAACACTTAATTTATATTTTTATATAAATTATAATTAATTGTGAAAAATAAAAATAAAAATATTTATAGTCAATATTACCTTTAAATGACATATCCATGAAATAACTTGGAACTTCGTCCTCTTGGTTTAGAAATTATAAGTATTGTTAACTTATTCTAACAAAATCATAGATATTCAATTTTATTAAATAATCTAATAACTAATTTTAAAATTATTTGATATATTATAAAAAATTATTTTTATATACAATATACTTTTTAAAATATAAATAAATTTTAACTATAAAATTATATTTATAAATGTTTATTAATTAGTTTAAAATTTGAGATTCATAATTATAAAAATAATATTATATGACTTACTGCCGTTTCTTTTTTTCTGTCTCCCTCCTATATTATGTATCATTTATAATAATACAATATTTTCTTTGTTTATACCGAAATAAAGTCCTAAAATGACATGAGAAAATATAAAAACTTCTCATCAAATATTTTACATATTTTCTAAATCAATTTTGAAACTATCAAACACCACCCTCATCGAAACAATGACATAAAATTTAAATATATGAATTTATTAAACACTTTCTGTATAAATTAAATAACCTTAGGATATTATCCTTCCACTCTCAATTGTGAATACATAAAACAGTAGCTTCCTTCCATTCTCATTGCATGTTTGAAAATTGATTGTTTTAAAACAAATAATAATTATTTTTTTAAAAAAGTGAAACTTATTGTTGATTAAAAAATTCTTCAATATAAATTGAATGAGACTCACTTATTCTACAACACCTTTAACATCAGAACACAAAATCCCTCATAAAGTGCCAAAAACTATAATAATTTTATAAATTAGTAATATCATCACATGCAGCATCTCATAATTCAAATCACAGATCAACCCAATATAACAATTAAATTTATCTAAACTCTGAGCTTATGACATCTAGAATTTCACAGGTGTCATGTTAACGTTTGTCTCAGTTATCAGTGTGACTCCAGCAAAGACATATTTCCTACGTGTTTGTCATCAGTAATGTCAAATGTCGTACTCGCAGAGTATGTGGTTACTTTCTTTGTCTCGTGAACCAACAGGACCCCAACCCCACTGTTCCTTTGGCATTTTACACACCAATGTAGGAACAAACTTCCAAGTATTTTTTTTTTCTTGTTTTTTTATTATATTTATACTATAATTGTGATTATATTAGTTTATGAATCATTATTATCTTATAAACATAATTTTTATATCTTGGAAATCAAATAGAAACCAAGAGCTTATCTTTATCTAAGCTTTCCACCCTCCCAATTTGAGTTATGTGGTGTGAAAACAACCCTCAAAATCACTTTCTGTGTAGTTTAGAGATGATAGGTTTTTGCATGATTGCATGAATAGCCTTGCTATTGTTTTGAATTGTCTTTATCATAGACATCAATAGAGAGCAAAAATGACATTTAAAGAGCATTGCATACTTCATCATTGGCTATTTATTTGAAAGCACAATCACTAGTTGGCCTTCACTCATAAACAAAGTTTCTGAAAGAACAAACCTTGGAATAATTAATAATGCCTTGGTTCCTTGTTATTCTGTTTCTCAGTCTTACATATGCTAGTCTTTCAGATGCTAGCTATGACAAGAAGCTTCCTTCTGCTGTTGTGGTTGGCACTGTCTACTGTGACACATGTTTTCAACATGATTTCTCTAAGGAAAGCCATTTCATTTCAGGTTCATTCGTGCTTCCCTTACTGTTTCACATCATATGTATCCCTTCAAATGTTATTGTCTAAACTTTGTGGCTCATATCTTGTTGTGTCCTTGCAGGTGCATCAGTAGCTGTGGAATGCAAAGATGGGACTTCAATACCAAGATTCAAGCAAGAAGTGAAGACAGATAAGGATGGAGAATTCAAAGTGCAGCTACCATTCAGAGTGAGGAAACATGTGAGGAGAATCAAGGGGTGTACTTTCAAATTGATAAGTAGCAATGAACCTCACTGTGCTGTGGCCTCAGCTACTGCCTCTTCCTCAATGATTCTCAAGACAAGAAAGGAAGGAGAACACATATTCTCAGCTGGGTTGTTCTCATTCAAGCCTATTATAAGGCCAAATTTTTGTAACCAAAAACAAAGTGATCCAAACTCCAAAAACAAAGTGTTCTCATTCAAACCTCGTTCAGGAATACCATTGTCACCAAAGATGACTAAAGTGGTCAAATCCAATTCAGATAAAGACTTAGCTGCAGATTTCTTTTTTCCTCCAAACCCATTTCTACCACCACCTATTATTCCTAACCCATTTCAGCCACCACCCCTCATTCCTAACCCTTTTCAGCCGCCTCCTCTAATTCCTAACCCATTTCAACCACCAAGCCCACCACTCATCCCAAACCCATTTCAACCCCCAAGCCCACCACCCTTCATCCCAAACCCATTTCAGCCCCCACCAAGCCCACCACCCTTCATCCCAAACCCATTTCAGCCCCCACCAAGCCCACCACCACTTCTCCCTAACCCATTCCAACCTCCCCCAGCACGCCCACCACCCTTTTTTCCTCCTCTTCCTTTTCCACCAATAGTAATACCAGGTTTAACTCCACCACCACCTCCCCCTCCACCTCCAGCATCAATCTTCCCTCCTATCCCTCCAATATTCCCTCCTCTACTCCCTCCACCTAGAAGTCCTGGCACTCCCCCTGCTTCTTCAACTCCTTGATTTAATAGAATAAATCAATGTACAACTTATTTACTTTCTTTATGAATCATATAATATACATATATATGGTTACGATATAATTAGCTAAACATGGGGATGAAAATGATAGATTATTGCTATATTAGTACTTAGTAATATATATAAGGATATGGTCATCTTTAAGCTTCAATCTTGAAAATTGTTGTTATTTGTGCAATTTGTATCCTTGAATTGTTCTAGAAATGGACACTTATGATTGTGATTTGATAATACATTTCAACGCTTGATAAAAATGACTGGATTTGGAATCAAATCCAAAAATTTTAGTTAGTAAGTAGAAAGGATAAACTTTTGTTATGTAATGATAGTGTTATGTATCCTTGTGGGAAATGGAGAAGGATAGTAAATGGAAATTGGTAAGGAGTGGGTATAGTTGATATAGAACACAACTTTGGCAAATTTCAAATATTTAAGGATTTTTTCTTTATGAGATAGGATTAAACTTCGGTGGGTGCTATGAAGTTGAAAACATTTGTTTGAACCACAAAAATAGTAGAGAACTGTCCAAAAGCGAACTTCCTTGAAGGCTTCACACAACAGGCTGGAACACACTAATAATGATAATTTATTAGTGTTGTTGCTGAATGATGTACTGCTTCAAGTGTTTGGACTATTTAGAAACCAACCAATGGTCAGAAACTGGTTAGGCTAGCCTTTACTTTAAGCTGTATTTGTTCAGTCTAATTAGGCATGATTTATTATCTGTTAAATATTTTATTTTTAGCTAGTTTAATTTATTTAGATAATTTAACTTAACCTAAAATCAGTTAGTAAAGTCTATTTAAAAAAATTATTTTATTATTAAATTAATTTATATATTTTTAAATTTTTATCAGTATTATTAATAATTATTAAATAATTATAATAATTTTTATATAATTTTATAAATAATTTTTAAGCATTAACTATAAATATTTTATATTATAAAATTTTTATATTTAATTTTTTTAAATTAAATAATTATATTTTATTTATATAAAAATATTTTATATTTAAAATTAATAACAAAAAATAATATTTATAAAATTTGTTGAATCAGCTAAAAAAATTATTATATTTAAAAAAAATATTGTCATTATAATTATAAAAAATATTTATATTATAAAATTTATGTATGTAGAAAAATAACAGTAAAAATTAATAAATTTATATTTAAATTAAAATAATTTATATTTTTAAACTTTTATCTTAATAAAAAAATATATAATAAAATTTAATATAAAAATTTAAATTTAATATACTATATATATAATAATAATAATAATTATTATTATTAAATTAAAAAAATAATTATAAAATATTTAATTTTATTTGTTTTATTAAATTTTAAATGTATAATAATAATTATATATTTTTTAATAACAAATAGTTATTTAAAATTTGACATATTTATATTTAAGTATGTGATTGTGTGCTGTAAACTTGTATCTAAAATTTTTTTTATAGTATTTTATTCAAAAAAATTATATCAATAAAAATAAAATATGTAATAAATTATAAAAAATATATACTATTATATTTAATTTTTTTAAAATTATATTATTTATATTTTTTATTATATGATCCTTTTATATATATATATATTGTATATTAAATTTTTTATTTTATTTTTCTATCAATTTTTTATAAAATTTTAGTTTTGAATAAAATATAATTTATATTTAAATAATTTTTATTTATTATAAAGAAAAAAATTAAACATAATATATTAATATAATAATTAAATAATTAAATATTATTAATAATAAAATTAAAAATATAAAAAATATATTAATATAATATTATTATTTTATTTTTAAATTTTATTTCGTTTAGTTTTAATTGCGTCTTTTTTTTGTTTAAAGACTTAACCACTCTTTAATTTATTTAAATGTAATAAATATGATAATTTATTATTAAATAAATGTATTATTTAAAATATATAATTGTGTATAAATATTTTTAATTTTTAATAAAATATAATTTCTATTTATTATAATTATAAATAAAAAAATTATAACATAATATATTCATTTAATAATAACAGAGTTAAAAATATAAAAAATATATTATTAAATAACTTTATTATTTAAACATGTTTTGACAACTTTATTTTTAAATTATATATATAAAATGGTCTATCAGACTTAACAGATTTTGTAAACAGTTTAATTTTGACTTATTTATTTAAACAAGCTTTAAAAAAAGTTTAAGTCTTATTTATTTATTTATTAAAAAATCAGATCAAACTAAATTTAAATTAGACTAGACGGCAAGCCCTTTTTAAATGAATTAACCTGTTTCTATCCTTATGAGTGAGGACAAGTTAAAAAGATGATAAAAATAAAATAAAATACACCAGATACAGTGATTAAGTGATTAATTACTTCAAAGCCAAGAATGAAGTCTCCCTTTTAGACGTACAACATTTCCTTAAACACTGGTTTCTGTTTGCAATTTTATTGTCACTTTTAATACTTTAGTTTGTTCCCACAATTATCTCACTAGTACCACTACTCTTGCATCTCTACTATACTCAAAAGAGTTTACCTCTCTTGCATTATTTTTGTCATTTACTTGTAAAGAGATTGGAGCTTTATTTACATAACGTGGGTCAACCTTTAATATGATGTAAATTATTGAAGTAAAAAATATTTTTTAATTAAAAACAGTATTTGTAGTACTATATTTAAATTTTGTAAGACAAGTATATATGACTGATTTGTTCCATTAGCATACACTCTCACTCTTTACTATAGAACTACTACTATTCTCCCAATGGAAAATAAACACCTTCTAATGTCAATAAAAATTAAAGTATTATCAAAGCAATATGGATCAATTCAACATATATTCAAACTGCAAAAGCCAACGACAGCTTCATTCAGTTTATTCTAACAAAATTCATAGTAAAGTCAATAACTATTTAATATGTTAAAATATATCGGTTAGTTATATAAGCTTCTTGAACCCTGCACCCTGCACATATTCAAATCAAAATGATAACAATACCTTTTAATATGACAGAAACTTAGGATTTGTTTGGTTAGTGAGAAAAATTATTTTATTTTTTAGTATAAATAACTAATTATAAAAATATCACATTGCCTTTTTTTTTCTTAATTTCAAATATCTATGTAGAAAATGGTGATTTTTTTTATTTTTATATATACTTGAAAATAAGAAACAAATAAACATTTTTTTATACCTATTAACAAATAAAAAATTAAAATAGAAAATATATTTCAAAATAAACAGGGGAAACTAAGGTTAGATAAGGTTTAAGTAGAATAATAAAGTATTTGTGCCTATATTCTTTTCTACAAGAAAAGAACTAAAACCTATTCACTCCCACCCAAATATTCATGTTTTAGTTAAATGAAATATGTGCTACTTCTAATGGAATTTTTTACAGAAAAAATATTAAAAATATTAAAATACATAAATAGACTAAGAAAGAAAATATTTATCCATCTGAATCTATTTACTGTAGCATAAAATTCTCAGTCTAGAATTCGGTTCCCTATAAAATACATAAAATTCTGGCTTCAGTTTTTTTTTTGTTTTTAAATTTTATTTTATGTTTTTATATAATAAAATAAATATTATTATTTAAATTATATTTATATAATTATATTTTGTTAAAATAAATATTTATAATATGTTATTCTAATAAATATTTATAATATGTTATTCTAATAAATATTTATAATATGTTATTCTAATAAATATTTATAAATATTTTTTTAATTATATATAATAAAATTTTTATTATTTAAATTATGTTTATATTTTTATATTATTTGAAAATGAATAAAAATAATAAAAATATTTATTTTATATGTTTATTAAAATTTATTTTACATATTTATGATAATAAATTATATTTTTAGATAACAATAATAAATATACTTTTAAAAACTAATTAAAAAATTAAATAATAAGTAAATTATTTTAGATAATTTTTAAAAATGAATTAAAATATTTAAATAATAAGTATATTATTTTAGATAGCAATTTTAATGCTTAAATTATTTATACTTAAAGAATAATAATAATATTTTTAAAAGCTAAATAAATATATTAAACATTATTCTGTTTATTTATTTATTTAAATATGTAATTTTGAGTTAATATTTTTAAACATTAATATGATAAAATAATATTTTAAATAAAATTTTTATTTTAATTAAATTAGTCTTTTTAAAAATTACATTATTTAATATTATAATTTTTAATACCCTAAACCATAAATCATAATTCTCAATGTTTAATACTCTAAACCCTAAATCTTTAATATTATAATTCTTAATAAAATTTATTTTAGAATAAAAAATTTATTTTTAAAAAGTAAATAAAATATTAAATTATAAGTTAATTATTTATACTTGAGACAAATATTTTAAAATTAATGTTTTTATATTACTAAGGTAACATTGATGAAGACAAATATTAATAAAGATGATAACAAATTCATAACAACATTAATAATTAACTATCTCCGTAATGGTGACCAGTTTCACAATGAGGGAGACGTCTATGACATGGTAGGTTTTATCGTTATATTTATTGCTCTGAGATTTTAGGATGAACGTGTTAAGGATTTGGATTATCATGAAGGTCTAGTTGTTGGAATGCAGTTGATGAATTACTAAGTTCATTAACAAAATCCGGTTGGTAAAGAGATTGCATGTAAGTTTGTGCTAAAGATAGAGTTATAAAATCAATTTCAAATAAGTTTATAAAAAAATTCTCCGATGTTGTTGCAAACAAATGTCTTGTGTTAATTATATTTGCTTCTGGCGTAATGTTCGAAGAAATTGATGCAGTCTCGTGGTACAACGGTGTGAAAGTCGTATTGATTTCAAATGTGTTGGCAGTCCTTAGTTGTTGGTCACTTCTCCTTGGATCTTGTAATAGTGGTGGCACAGATAGGAAATAGATGAAATTGACAATGTACCATTCTATTTATTCTTATGTGTGACACAATGGGCCTTGCATTGAATGACCCATTATTGTCAGCTCACGTCTATTATGCCATATCTTGATCCATTGAGCATGTCTTGTAATCCAATTTTCATCCTGTCTTTCTCTCATGTCAATTTTGTGGAGGTCATTCAAATTATTCGGTGGAGAAGGGACTTCTTGGAAAAGATGAAATTGTAATTTGACTCTATCTGTTTAGTGTCATTCAACAATTGCAAAATAAAAGATGACTATACATGAAGTTCACAGTTGGACATCTCTATATGCTTCCATGGGTATTGATATTTGCAAGTCTTGATATGTCACCCATAAAAACTACAGATAAATTTAACTTTGTTACTTAAGATGATGTGTAAAAGATAAGAAAATAAATATGAATTCAAATTTTTGTTATGAAGAGTTACCTGATTAGCTTGAATGTGATCAAACATTGATCTGTGCCACCACTAGGAATTGATTAAGACTACCTATACCAACAAAATGTATTTACTTTTCGGTGGCCTATCACTTAAGAGCTCCAAAGTTAAGCATGTTTAACTTGGAGTAATTATGGGATGGGTGACCTTCTGGCAAGTTCTAGGGAAGTGTGCGAGTGAGGACAAAGCACACTGAAAAGTCTCGTGTTGGTTTGTGGAGACAGTCGTCAGTCCTAATTAAGAGGGAGATCCAGAGACTGTATACAGTTGAGGATACCTTAAAAGGAATTAATTTAGACTACCTATACCAACAAAATGTATTTACTTTTCGATGGCCTATCACTTAAGAGCTCCAAAGTTAAGCATGCTTAACTTGAAGCAATTATGGGATGGGTGACCTTCTGGGAAGTTCCCAAGAAGTGTGCGAGTGAGGGCAAAGCACACTGAAAAGTTTCGTGTTGGTTTGTGGGGACAGTCGTCAGTCCCAATTAAAAGGAAGATCCAGAGACTGTATACAGTTAAGGATACCTTAAAAGAATTAATTAAGACTTGGAGCAATTATCGGATAGGTGACATTCTGGAAAGTTCTCGGGAAGTGTGCGAGTGAGGACAAAACACACTAAAAAGTCTCGTGTTGGTTTGTGGGGACAGTCGTCAGTACCGATTAAGTTGTCGGGCTGTTACAAGAGTAAAGACGGAGAGAAATGAAGAATAAAGATGGATGCAGGTTTGAATAAAAACATGTAGCTTTGGATGAACATATTTATAAATAAACTTTGGTATGAGAGAGTAGTATTGGATTCTTGAAAAGTCATTATCTCTTGTCTACGAGAATGTCAGAAGGCATCTTTGTTTGGGAGGAGAAAAAGCTTGTTTGGAAGTATATGAGATAACTTGAATGAGAAAAGAATTCAATGCTGGGCGTAACTGAGAAGTCACTATCTCTTAGTCTACGTGAATATCAGAAAACATCTTTGTGTAGGAGGAGAGAAAGCTTGTTTGAAAGTATATGGGATGTCTTGAATGAGAAGAGAATCTAGCGTTGGGCGTAACTGAGAAGTTACTATCTCTTTTGTATGGCAAATACAAAGGGACTTTATTAGTAGTAGTTGCGTAAGACGGCCGCAACAACATAATTCTCATTGTCTTTGCTGTGGTTGAAGGTGAAACCAACGATGCATGGTTCTTTTTTTTTTAGAAACTTAAGGAGATGCGTAATCCCGCAAGAGGGTTGTGCCTCATTCCGGATCGTCACGAGGCCATAAGAAGTGCTTACTCCAGAAATGGAAGTGGTTGGACGGAAAACAATTCTGTCGATGTCTATTGCATTAGACATATTGCACAAAACTTCATGCGACAATTCAAAAATGCTGCACTAAAGAAAGATATTGCTAATATGGGTAATTTTAATTTTTTATGTAAGCTATATTATCATTAATATTTTATACAATTGCTTAACTAGTTATATTAATTTAATTTATAATTTTTTTTTAGTATATAGGATGACTGAACCAAGATTCTTTTACTATTACAACATAGTAAAATATAATAATCTTAAAGCTGCACAATGGTTGGACAACATCCCAAGGAAAAAATGGACGCTGGCATGGGACAACGGACGATGCTGGAGACACATGACAACAAACCTAGTGGAGTCAATCAATTCGGTCTTGAAGAAAACCAAAAACTTGTCAATTTGCTCCATAGTCATGCCAACATACACCTGTTGTAATAAGTTCTTCATTGAGAGAAACAGAAAAGTAGATGCAATGATTAATGCTAAACATATGTAGTCGGAGGTTGCAACTAAAGTAATTCAAGATGTATAGTCAAAGATAAATACTCATAGAGTCATTACCTTTAACAGAACAAGCACTAGATTTTTAGTTGAAGAAACGCAACATCCGACAGAAAATTGACTCGTAGGAAGATTTATAGTACAATTAGATAAAATGTTGTGTGATTGTGGTAAGTTCCAAAAAATTCACATCTCATACTCGCATGTACTTGCTTCATACTTACACACACATCATAACTTTGACATCTACATATCTCCCTGTAAGATATATGAATGTTAGTTTAGAGAACTCAAACATGAAGACTATTGGCCAACTTATACGAGCTCAACTTTGTGTCTAAATTCAAAACTGAAAAAAACTTCAAAGGGTCGACTCTAGTTCAGTAGGATAAGAACAAAGATGAACATTTGAGAACAATAAAGTCGAGTAAAAAATTGTTCTTACTGTCACACCTTTAGTCATACAAGAAATACATATCCAAATATCACTCAAGCTTTTAGTTTCCGTCATTGATTTATGTTGTTGTTATTATTTTAATTTTTTTTAATGTCATTGCAACTTATAAATTTTTAGTATTTATAATTTATATTAAATATATAATTATATATATATATATACATAATATTATTTAATAATGTTTATTAATATTAATAACATATTTTTTTAAATAAATAATTATGTATAAATTTTAATAAAAATTAATATCTCAATAAATAAATAAACTTATTATTATTTAATACTTTTATTTATTTTATAAAAATATAATATTAAATAACCAAAAATATAATTTCAGAATATAATATTAATATCATTTAAAAAAAATTAAAATTATATTAAATAATATAATAAGAAAAACAAAAATATTATTTATTATCATAAATATGTAAAATAAATTTTAATAAACATGTAAAATAAATATTATTATTATTTTTATTCATTTTTAAATAATATAAAAATATAAACATAATTCAAATAATAAAGTTTATTTTATTATATATAATTAATAAAATATTTATAAATATTTATTAGAATAACATCTTATAAATATTTATTTTAAAAAATATAAATATATAAATATAATTTAAGTAATAATATTTATTTTATTATGTAAAAATATAAAACAAAATTTAAAAACGAAAAAAAACCCAAGTCAAATTCTGTTCACGGGAACCGAATTTTGGACTAAAAATTTTATAGTAGAGTAAATAGGTTCAGATAGGTAAATATTTTCTTGCTTGGTCTATTTGTGTATTTTAATATTTTTTTCTGTAAAAAATTCACTTCTAATGTACATATTTTAATTAGAAGTTCCTCTCTATGATTGCAATAACTTCTTTGATATGATTGTATCCAATAAGCTATACATTGTGGTTTTCAAAATAATTTACAAACTAATTTTAAAATATGGTTTATTTTTTAAGAACACACTAAAATATTTTACAGATAAAACAATCTTTTACCATAGGTAGCAATATTAAAGTTAAGGATTATATTATCATATCAAATTAATAAAAAAGGTTCTTGAAGATTAGTTGATAAAGAGGTTTCTTGTGTAGTGTGCACAAATTCATTAGTCAAAGTCAACCAAAGCCTTAAATCAAAATGATGATATACATTATTATAAATTAAACTTAGGCACCAAGGCACTTGCAATTGGTGAGGTACATTTTAAAATAAAATCAATTATTCGCATTTTGAAGAGATGCATATATAAATCAACAGATCAAATAACATAAACAGCATCAGAAATCAACATTAACCAAATCTGGAATGGAATCTCCTTTTCAGATGCACAATGCTTCATTCAAGACCAATTTCTGCTTGCAATTGGCATACAAAACTATGCTGAAACAAGTTGGAAATGGTTCAAACTTTGTCTATTCCCCTTTGTCTCTGCATATTATAATGAGCCTTCTTGCTGTAGGAACAAAAGGGAAAACCTTGCAACAACTTCTTTCTGTTCTAGGATCAGAAAGTATACATGAAGTGAATTCATTATCTTCACAAATTATTTCTTATATACAGCTTGCTGAGGGAAATGGAAGCCACAGTGGGGGTCCTATTTTGTCATTCATTAATGGGGCTTGGGTGGAGCAAAGTTTTGGTCTGAAGAAATCATTTGAAGAGGTGGTCAAACAAGTTTATAGATTAAGTCAAGTTAAAGAGGTTGACTTCAAAAACAAGGTACTTTTTCAATATCCTTATTGTTGTCTATCTATATTCAAGCCAAGCATGACAGATTATGGAGATCATAGTTTTTTAGATCAGTTCATGCTTGAATTAATGATGTGTGCATTTTCATGTTAGGATTTAGAAATTGTTTATAATTCATACTTGATTATATACTCCTAAGTCTCAACTTTAAACCAATGCCAGAAAATGATTTTTATAATCCATTAGACTTTGAAACATGTCTGTGTGATCATAACATTGTAGATAACCAAGAATAAATTGGTCTGATCACACAGACATGTTTCAAAGTCTAATGGTTAATCGGTTCAGAGTTGAAGCATAAAATCAAGTATGAATTAAAAGTCATTTCTAAATCCTAAAACGCAAATTCTTATATATATTCATCCAAGTCAACTATCCTCTAAAGCTGTTATAGTAGTTATATTTTGGGCCAGTTACCAACAGTAATGATTGTTGCATTTCATTCCTATGTAAGGAGAAATCGTACAAAAGTTGAACTGTTTAATGAAAGGGTTTGGTAAATTTTATTTGGTGTAATTTACCTTGCTGCTCCTATTAATGCTTGATATTTTGATCTAGATTTGAAAAAAAAAAAAAAGTTTGACCATATTTTTAAAAGAAGCAATGCTAATTTACTATAAAACCCTCTTTCAGCCCTATATTCTTATAATTACTTAGCTTCTATAAAAGATTCATCATAAAATCTATGCTTATGGAAAGTTGTTTATCCTTTGAAAAGGATTGCTTTTCAACTTTCAAGTAGGGTTGGCAATCTCTGTGTAGAGGATTCCCTCTTGAAAATTTTGACCAGAAGAGTTTGCAATTTTACTTGTATTGGTAAAAGCTTGAAGAATTGTCCTTATTTTTCAATTTTGAGGAAATTCTTGAACACGTGGACTTTTTTCTTATGCTAATAAAACGTATTTATGTTTCACAAGTTTTTCGAAGTAAGAGAAGAAGTAAATGCGTGGGCTGACAATGCTACCAATGGACTAATAAAGGAACTTCTTCCAGCAAATTCCTTATCTTCATTGACCAGGCTAATTCTTGTCAATGCAATGTACTTCAAAGGAACATGGCCATTGGATCAAAGGTTTGACGCATCGAACACTAAAACCAAAACTTTCAACCTTCTCAATGGACAGAAAGTAAAGGTTCCCTTCATGACCAACTTTGAATTTGTAAACTATAATTTCAAATCTTTTGAAACCTTTAAAATACTTCAAATTCCCTACCAAAGTGGTGATAACAACCCATTAACGTTCTCCATGTATTTCTTTCTTCCACATGAGAAGGAGGGTCTCCCATATTTGATTCATATATTAAATTCAAACACGGAATTCTTAAATCAAAATTTTGGCTTACATAAAGTGAATATTCCTAATTTTTGGATCCCAAGATTTAAGTTCTCGTTTGATTTTGAGGCTAAAGAGGACATGGAAAACTTAGGACTTACATTACCTTTCAAGATCAGTGGAGACTTGACAGAATTTTCAGATTCTCCCTTAAGCAGTGAACTTTATGTTTCAAAGATTTTTCATAAGGCATGCATTGAAGTCAATGAAGAAGGAACAGAAGCTTCAGCTAGCACAGCAGTAATTATAAGTCAACAACGTGCCATGATGCCAATACCAAGCTTTGTGGCTGATCATCCTTTTGTCTTCATGATAAGGGAAGAAACTTCAATGGCTGTGTTTTTCATTGGAGCTGTGGTCAATCCTCTCTTGGTTTCTTGATAGTTGGAATGCATATTTATAATTTCTTTCATGATGTGATCACTTTTTTGGTTCTGCTACTGATGGATGAACTGGTGTGGATTCAAGTCATTCCATGATTGAAAATTGTATAAATAATTGAAGTATCCTATGTTTCAAAAGAAAGATACTTAAAAATAAAGAATGAAATATATACATTGTTTGTTTTATACTTTTGCTTTATGCATTATGCCATTGTGCATTTGTGCTTCTGATACTCATTGTCATCATTTCAATTTTTTGTGTCTTTTGGTCATAGACAGTAAATAGAGCTTATCTAATATATTAATATTTATTGAGATAGAGAAGAACACAAAATCTAAACTTGATATTTCAAACACATAAAAAGGATCCATTCTTAGATTTTAGAAACAAAAGACTGAAAAATTGTTATATGCAACCTTTTTCTCATTGGTATAAATTAATATTGAAATAGAATGTATATAGCTTCAAAGAAATAAGAAGATCCTTGAAGGTTAATAAATAAAAGTTTCTTAAAATGCACAATTTCAGTGTCTAAATCAAAGCTTCAAATGACAATTATATTAGAAAAAAAAAACAAAAATTGTTATGATAAATAATGCAAAAAATAAATATATGAAACACTTCATTATTAACCAAAATGGCTCTATTAGATATTTCATTTTTTGCATCACATATATACAGGTGAGAAAATAATGAGTTTTCCTTTTTCATTTGAAAGTAACAGTCCACTTCATTTTTTAATATCACATAATTCGGGTTTCTTGTCTGTAATGCGAGCTATGTTTTTGGGTATGAGGTACAGTTTGAATTTTTTGGGTCCAAAGGTAAAGTCAAAATTTTTGTTCCAAAGATACAGTTGATTTTCAAGTAGTTGAGTTAAATTGGGCTATAAATGGGTTTGTATACCATCAACTTAATCGTATCACATTTTTACAGGAAAAAAAATGATCCTATAATATTTTCAAAGCATGAAAAATACATTAAAGAAATAAAGACATTCCATTTAAATTCTATACATATAACATATGATTGGAGTGTCACACATGGGGGTGCTGCTCACCAGATTCAGAGAGCATTGAAGATATAAGTTTTGAAAAGGGACAATTCAATTCAATCTTGCTTCCTACCAAATTGAAATGTGGGGACTAAAGTCCATTCACACGGATTTTGCTATCTGCCAAGGAACCAACCAATGCATAGGGCCAGACACAGATCTCTTGAATTGAACAATTCTTAGTTCTCGGAGCAAATATTTTCCTTCTCTTTTCACTTTTGTCTAAAAGAAAAATACCCACAAAAATTTATATTAAATTGGAAAAGGAAATACAAGACAACATTGTTCTTGTTCCATTCAATCTTCGTTTTCACCCTATAATTTCTAGAACAAATGTTATTATTTCTGGATGATTCTGAGCGTGTTACATGGAACATCCTAAGGTCAAAGCATAGGACTAAGATGTTATTTTATGTTGGAAAATGATTACCCTCCTCTGTGCTGTCCACTACAAAACCACGTATGAAATTGCAATAGTCAACATCACCATCCTAGATCTTCCTCTATTATGCTGACCAAGGTCCTCAAAGTACACTATTTGCCATTTACTTTGTTTAGTTATAACTTTTTTAGAAAATACTAATTAGTATCTTAAAATTTTGATTAAAAATGAAAAATTTGTTAAAAAAGTTACTAATTTACTCTCATCAAAATTTTTAACATATCTTCGATGTAATTTTTTTTAAAAATTTTTAATTATTAACTAGTATTTTTACTAGTTAAAAATATGTTAATTTTTAACAATGAAGAGTATGGTAGCCTGCCACTATCATTGTTTCGTTGATTTGCCAAGGCAGGAACAACATGAATATTGCTTAAAGTTCTATCAGTCTTATCTATATGGATCCTTAAAATTTATAATCAAATTGGTATTCAATATATTTTTGTTTTCTATTTTCTTTGTGGACCCTTTAGGATTTCAACAAGATACAAACCCTTTTCCATTTTTTGGCTGTGGCTTACATGTGACTTAAAATAACTATTATCACATGCCGATTTAGATTGGAAAATGGGGCATTTTGCATCACGGGAATTTGTCCTTGTGCAAGTTACAAAACGACATATCTCTCTTTGAAATTTGAATACTCTTTGGAAAAACTAAAGAAACTAAAAGATGAAAGGTGTAACACCCTATATTTTGGCTTACATTTTGTAAGATATAAATTGTACTTAATTTGAAATAATATGTTTTCTAAAAATGTTTGCTTAGTTTATTAATTGTACACATTTTGGCTCCTATTGTTTGATTAGAGTTTGAAACGTGGAAACTACACATCATATGTGCGCATGATTTTCACTTCTATGTCCCAAAAAGCAAGAGGCAATGTTTTCAGAGAAGGGGGTATTCAATTCATTAGTAAAATGAAATTATTCAAATCAATCATAATCAATTTTAAACCATTAAATGTGTTGATGGACAGTGGATTAAGGAAGCTAAAACCATCCCATTCCAACTAATAGAGATGACTAATCATAATTAAGACCTTATACCTCCCAATTCTTTTCTCAGCTAGTGCTGTTTGATTGTGAAATCTTACTGCACGAAATACTTAAATTTGCTTTCCATTTGATTCGCTAAATGTTTTTCTCCTATGCTTTTGTTACAATTCCTATGATATAATCATGAAAAACCAGTCCAATATGTGTAGGTTCAATGGCAATTATCCAATGGTCAGAAATGGTTTGGCGACACTAGAGAGTTGACACCACTAATCACTAACTATAACTTTTTCATGTTTTATATAATAACTTGAGTGATAAATCACCTAAGCATAAAATATTTAACACAGGGTTTATAAATTTCATAAGCTGATTTTTACCAACTTCATGAATTCAATTTCTTTTCAAGAGTTTCGTAGATCACAACAATTATTTGATGGAGGCAAAGACATCAGGATTAAAGAGTTGGTAAGAACCATGATAGACCCTACTCAACATAGATAATCAAGAAACCATAGAAATTATACTGTCTTTAAATTTGCCTTATAACTTGACACTCATCAAAATGCTTAGAAAAAGCTTTTCAGTATAATATGTAAATCCGAAGATTAATATCAGCTTGGTTAAATTCATATTTAAGTATTATGATTTCATATTTATTTTAATACTATTAATTATAACTTTTTTGTATTGATTCATATTTACAGAATGTGTTTTCGAACAATCAATAAGTATAAAACCACTAAAGCGTTTGGGGTACTCACTTTAAATATAACAGCTCAAGTTAATTAACAGCAAGCATGGGTCCAAGGTACCCACATGCTGGTTATTGCAATCATAGGAAGAAGATCATGTTTTTTTTTTTCTTCTTTGGATTTGGTCAACAACTAATTAAATTTCTTCTAATTATGTATTGTATTTGGTAAAAATTATTTCTTCTAATGTTGGGTTCATTGATTAATCAGGCAATCACTATATTGGGTCAGATATACCTTTTGATGGCCTAATTAGATTTGGTTGCAAGAGCCCACTTTTATATTCTGGTTCCTTCTAATATTAATATGTATTTTCATATGTAATACATATATATTCCAAAGTATATAAATGTTATTGCGCATTCAATTGAATTGAATGAGTTATATAGTTGGTCAGTGACAAAAGATGAAGGTGGGTCCTCATATTTATTTTCCTAATATTTCAGAAGTGTATATGTTATGTTACAAATAAAACTATTGATATATCAGTCTTTACTCACGTGAAAGGTTTCTTCTCATATGCCCAATAGAAAACCGTGTTGGAAAATGTAATAACAAGATACAACTTAATTGAATGACCAAAAAATAAATAAATTTGAAACTTGGTTGACAAAAGTAAAAATGTTTTGTATAAAGTGATTTATTGGTATAAAAGTTTTTATGTGTGTTTATTTGAGACCCTTAAAAGATGTAGAATAAACCATGGTTTTCTCTTAACAATTATTTTGTATAACAAAACTTCAATAATAAAAAATAACATTGAAATCATTATTTGGTGTGAATCATAAGAATTAAGGGTGTAGATATATTAAACAATTTGTGAGTTATTTCACTTAGATTGGTAAATGTTTGATCAAGATTATTTACAAACTAAATAAGTTTAATTTAAATTTAATCATATAAATGAGTTAAATTGAAGTTTTATAAACTTAGTATTAATAGTAGTTCACGCATGTGTATATTATGATGAGAGTTGAAAGTTTTGTTTATTACATGTATTTAAAATTCATAATTTTATTCAATAAAAATATAGTTTTATTTATTATTATCATGATTCTTATTATATTTACATTTTTCTTCAATTTTCAAGAATCCTACTATAAATGAATAACCATCAATCTTATTAAAAAGATGATCATCTCCACAATTAAATATTTTAAATTTTAATTCTAAATTATCTTTATGAATAAACATATATATTTTATTTCTATTTTTATATAACCTCCTATCGTAAAAATACATCGATAGTGTTAAATTCGTTTTGATTTCATGGATAATATACAAGAAATATCGTAAAAATACATATATACAAAAAAAAAAAAAATTGGTTTCAAATAAGTCTCAACTATTTTTAATCTCAATAAACATAATGCATAGAGTTTAGAAAATCACTATTAAGGAAATATGATGATAGGAAAATTTTCAAAGATAGATAGCTCGTTTATTTCAGCTTCTGAAAACAGGAATTTTTTTGAAATATAAAAATAATTTATTTTTATAGATTTTATAAAAACTAGAAATTAATTTTTATTTTTTTATAATTATAAAAAATATTTTTATTTTAATACGTTTTTATACTTTTTTATATATTTTAAAAATCCAAAAAACAGTTAAAAATAGCTAAATAAAGAATAAAGTTTCAGTCATATTAGAAACTTACTGGCACACACAAAGAAGGCCAATTGTTATTTTTGTATTATTAAAACCTTTAAATATCTGATTTAGCAGTCCAAAAAATATTTATCTAT